GGCATTTCTTTTCTTTTTTTTTTTTTTTTTTTTTCATTATATTTTTTGGCTCTGCAAACCTGCTTTTGAGCAGTATGAATTATAAGCTGGTTGTGAGCACGGAGACATGGTGTCGCTTCAGTTAACCCCTCTGAACGGCTGCGAAGCTGGCTTATCCTCCTTTCACTTTCCCAGGAGGACAGAATTGTTTAAATTGGAAAGGACCTCTGGAGAGCATCTAGTCCAAACCCCTGCTGAAGCAGGATCAGCTAGAGCAGAGTACAGATGCTCCTTTCACAGAATACAAGTTCAAACAATCTAGAAATGAAGTAAATAAATATATTCATAGTTCCAAATCATTCTTTTAACAGGTCATAGGACTCTCCAGAGACGGAACTGTGACTGTAGTGTACCAGGACTGTTTTCTTGGCATCTAGCCTGTCACCAAGAGCAGGATTAGGTAGCTGTTCTATATGAATCAGCTGTTAAGCCACGTGAACTGAATAAGGCACAAGATATGATTCATTGCAACCACACATCTATTTCTATATTTTGTAGGATGATGAGAGCGAAATGAAAGCCTAGGTTTTAATTTTCTAACATTCTGAAACAGTGTAATTCATCTGGTTACAAGTACTCTCAAAAGAGGTGCTCAAGAGAGAGAAAGACCAAAAAAGGGACTAAAAAAAAATAAATACCTAATCCCAAAACCATCACTAAAGAAATAAATGAATAAACAAACAAATAAATAAATCCACCAAAACAGCAGCCTCCGTGGGGTGCTCAATCCAGGTAGAATTCAAAGGAATAAAACAAGGTTTCAGTTTGCATTATGGGATTTTCCTCCAGTATAAGACAGTGGATGACACTAAGAAACATTTAGAGTATGTATTTGTGCAACACCTTTTTGACCCTTCAGTAGTGAGAACACAATTACGATTTTATCTTTTCACTTAATACATAATGATTTACAACAAAGACATTGGACCAGTCAGAAAAACAAATCCTATCAATTAATTTCTCTTTTGGGGCTCACAATACTTGATCCAAGTAATCTTCAATGGATGTGTGACCTTAGCAGGTACATTTCCAAGCAGACAAACCAACTTGATATCACAAAAATCCAATCTCAAGCAATACAAGAGCAATAGCTCTCCAACAAGGAGATAAAAGTACTTTCTTGCAACTCTCTTAGTCCCATCTTCTGTACTAAAACAGCATTAGGAAATGTAAATCATATATCTAGGATCAGGCTCAAGTTTCGGAGCTGTAATTCACTACTCCACACCGCATATTCTGAGAGAGATAATAGCACATTATTTACTAATGCTAGATAAAAGAGGTCAACTACCAACTCAAACTAATTTAAAATGAACACGCTATCCCTAGATGTAGGTTCCTAGAGCAGTTAATCTGACTTCTGCTACTGAAAACTTAATTCTTGTAGCTCCCTCCTGTAGTGGGCTACGTTGAGATAAAAGTTATCCCCCCAAGAAAGGATAATTTCTCTCTAGAAACTATTCTTTATTCATCACTTATGAACAAACATGCTGACTTTCCAAAAAAAACTTACTAGCCTTGTAAACAGTGCTGCTGTGAGATTTCACTTACCACAGTAAGCTTGCAGATGCTGAAATGTTCTTATCTATATTCTCAATGGAACAGGAGAAACTTTTTAAAGTGCGTTCCCACCAATTACGCAAGAGTTATTTTCTGCATTGAGTGAAATGCAGAAAGGACACTTGACATTTCCTCAGTAGGTACTCTGCCATATTCAATGAAGCTGGCTTGTGCGTATGGTAAGAATTCATAATAGGCCCCAATCAAAATTTTTGGTGAAAATGATTGTTCTACATTAAGGAAAATTACCATCTAATAACATTGTTCTGTGATGAAACACAAGGCATTATTCAGGAAAGTTCTAATTGACTTCTCTGGCATTTTCAGGGCCGTGGTCGTGTATCTGAAAGATTGTGCCGCCTTCTCCCTCCCAGACGTGCACACATGAACTTTCTTTCTGCCCCAGACTTATCAGAGAAGATGCTGGCAAGAGAATTGCCTTGCCCCATTTTGCTCCGTTATATCTGGGAGTACATGCAAGGTGAGATAACTTTCAATCATACTGAACACCGACTTTCAGCTTCCAAGACAAAATGATCTATACTATGGGAGACACTTAAGTACAAGAAATAAGAAATAAGCATTAATTTACTTTTTCTGTCTTGATGTAAACTGAGAAACAAATTCCCTAAACAACATTATGAAGCAACTTCTGTGTAGACTAAGCTCCCATAAAGAACTTCTCCAGTTTGATATATATTTTTTCTATATCAAGAAAACTCTTACAAGAATTGGAATAATTAAAACTTTTGTCAACTTCCATTACAGTTAATATTACACTCAAATAGCAGCTTCAGTAACCTGACAAATCAGATATGCAGTGCTATGAGTATCTATTTAAATGCCAAAGTCATAAGGAAAAAGGAATTGATTTATTGTAATTATTTTATTCTGTGACTGGCACCATGGCAAGACAAATTCACCTCAATTTTTTATATGGTATCTGAAGTTATAAAACACAGGCTAATACAGTTCACCAAATTCAATACCACATAGCTCGCTTTGTATATGAATGGAGAAAGAAGGAAAAATTTGAAGCCAATGGACTCAATAATACAGATACAATACAAATTCTCTTAAACCAATACAAATAAATTATCATAGAAAAACAATGACTGGTTGGAAATAATAAAACCCTGTGGTGCCTTCTCACAGAAGAAACTAAGTGACATCAGTCCTGGCTTGATTTTATTTTTCAAAACATAGATCTTGTCTAAAATTCTTCTCAGCTCCTGAAAAATTTTAAAATCCTTTCCTAAATAATGCTGTGTGTTCTAGAGACAGCTAGCATATCCCCTTCCAGAAGGCCAACTGGATACAACGCAGAAGAAAGATAATATTCAACAGTTTTGTGAAGTGTTTCAGCATTTCCTGGGAAAAAATTCTGAACAAAGCACACAAGAAGCATTATGGTTGGTTTGGAACCTTAACTTCATTTTTTTGCTTTAATAAATTCGAACTTTTCAACAGCAACTTCAGCATTTCATCTTTCTGATTTGTTAAGATGGCTTTTACACAACTTGCTTCATTCTTGTGCTGTCCTTTACCTTTACATTAACAGTTCTCATCCTAGCACTTTGTTATCCTCCCTACAGGGCTTTTTGACTAACTTTTTTCACTTATTTTTAAAAAAAGTCAAAAGAATATTGGGTACTTTTTTTTTTTTAAACACACATCTCTTGTTCGTGTCACTTCTAGTCGTATGAAGATGCGCAAGTTAAATCACTTAAACCATCTAATGTTTACTAGCTGATTCCCTGGTACCTCAGCGTAGCGGTCAGAGTGCATTACCTAATTAATATTGGCTTACACCAGAGAAGCAGAGAACAGCAGAAATAAATCAGTGATTAAAATGAATTTTAAATACTCTAGTTAATCTGGCATCCTATGTAAGAAGAAAAGAAACACAGTCCCTGCACTACGGGCTCCACAAGCCCTTTTGCCTCTGTTCTCACACATCGCTATTGCCAAGCGCAAGACATTATGCAATAGTGCCTTGGTCTAACTGGCACACAGATACCATAATCTTTGGAGACTACAATAGCTGGCCAGAATAACCCATCAATAAAAAGATGCTCAGACATGGAAAAATAACCAATTGATTAAATTTGGCCTGATTAGGGGCTTATTTCTTCAAATAAGGTTTATTTGCAGAACTGTAGTAACTGCATGGAAAGTTTGACAGTTCTGCACTTAAAGCAAGAAAGATGACAAACGCTAAGAAATTTTCAACAGAATCTTATTTTAGACACATCTCAAATTTGTGCTGAAAGCAAGACACATTTGGGACTAAAAGACTACCATCTCACATTTTTAAGAACAGAGTTCACTAGAGCCACGCTTGTTCCTCTCTAAGCACTCCCAGATGATAATACAGGTATCAGAACCATCATACTCCCACCTTGTAATTCAAAGCAAGCAAAGCCAATGCTCCAAATAACAGCATGCCCACACCTGACTACATTTCAAAGAAATTCCTGTCATGAGGTTTCACCAGTTACATTTCAGTGTTACCTCCAAGCAGTAACCTCTTCAAACAGTGGGACGGAAGGCGCTGTTTGCTTTTGTCAAGTATATTAGAGCAGTGCTCTTTCAAAATTCATTACGGAATCTACCAACCAAGACTAATTTTAGTTTAACATGACACACACTGTTTCATGTGGCAGTCAGTAGATTTTGAGAGCCTGATTAGTTCAAAAATGGACCACATTGCCTGAACCCCACGAGGACATGCCATGAGAGATCAGCACCATTAGACACTAGCAATGTCACGGTAGGTGCTGTGGAACAGCTTAGGCGAAGTGGCCATCTATAGGCAGAGCAGAAAAGAGTCTGGGAGATCTGGTTTCATCAGTGCAGAAAGTAAGATACATGCAAAGTAGTCTCCTTCGCTCATTCTTAAAATGTCCTTGTACAGTCCAGCAAGATACACTGATTGCTTTAACTGAAACTCTAGCACCATCTTGGGGTGGAATTTCACATGTAATACAAGTGTTCAGTGAATGAACTATATTATGTAGGAACTGCAATAACAACTGAAAACCTCCTTGCTCTATTGAGCAATGCAGCCTTTAGCAGGTGACTAGTCAGTTAAAAGGCAATTAAGCTTGGATTTGTGACCAACGGACAGGTAGCGCAAGTAATTACAATATTATTAGTAGGAAATGAAATACACCTACTGCAAAGTCTTACATGTATCAGTCTCAACAAGTAACCTCTAATTCCAATCTTGCTCAGACAGTATCCACCTTGCAAAAATACAACACAGGTGATTTTCTAAACTCTTTTTACTAAACTTCTGAGTCTCAAAGATACTGCTTTCTGTCTTGTTACTGACAAGTTTCATATTCAAATCCAAAAATAATTTACAGACTTTGAGAATTAGGACACTAAAAAAAAAAAAAAGAAAAAGCATCTCAGAAACTATACATGAACAAAGTGACCTTCTTAGTTTTAGGTGTACCAGACAGGAATTAAAATAACAACAATAAAAAAAAACCCAAAACCACTGACCAAAAAAAAGTCATTTATTGCTGACAGAAACAGCTGGTGTTACTTAAAATTTGAGGCAGTAATTTCAGGACAAAATTTCTTATTTTCGTCAAAGGACTTTTATGTAAATACTCCCCAGCCTAAACAGTTGGGGTTTTTTTACCCAACTTTCATTAGACTCAATACCCTTACTTTGCTAGTTAATTACAAACCAAAATTTTAAAATTTCTTCAGTAGGATATGAATTAAGAGAAAGTGTCTATTCACAGTCAATATTAATAAGCTTCTTAAAATTTGAACAATCCTTCAGCACATCTTTGAACTGCTATTTATACTCCATTCAAGTGTTTTGGAAAAAATAAACTTTAGAACTGCAGCAAGAATAACAATTGATTACTACATTAAAGTACTTGTCTTAAAAGTTCTCACCATCATTCTGTCTTCATTGTCTGGCAAGTCGCAATGCACTTGCATTTTCTCTGCTTCTGACTGCATCAAGACCATCTGCAGCCAAAGATTCATAGGAATACTGACAACTTGAGACACCAAAACGCTTGTCACACAAAAAATACCGTCCTCAGAACCCACATATATTAACAATTTGCATTCTTACATATACCAGCTAGTATCTGTAAAATCAGGCCTCTGCAAGTTTTGCCACTGCAAGACACAGTGATGCAGACCAACCAGTCAAAAGACTGCAGCCTCCCTGACTTTGTCATACTCCATAACTTAGGAAATGTTTTAGAAATAAACACCAAATTGTAGGCTTTTTGAAGTCAAGTGTTTGTTTTCTGAACCATAAAATTGTAACTAGTCTTGGATTTCTGTCTCAGATCAGTGTTTTAAAGCATTACTCTTTTTAACAAGAAACAAAAAACCTGAATTCAAACAAAGCTTAGCTACCAGAGAAAGAACTCCCCAAGAATGAATACTGTGGAAATGAAAATCCACAAAAGAAAAGATTTTGAAATATTTATTTCAACCATTAGATGAAAGACTGACAAACCAGTGTTTACTGTTATCAAGTCAATCTTCATCTAATCTATTTTATGACTTCCTCTCCCCATCAAGCATCTTTTTGAAGTGATCACCCAATTCTAGGGCCTTTGATTACTGGTAGGGGGGAGGAGGTACACTGTCTCCAATTTCTCAACATGTTATTGGTTTATGTAATTAAATATAAATACCAAAATGATGGTACCTGGATCTCTGTCATTTCCTACGAGAGTTAGAAAAGTTATTATTAACCCTCAATACCCTTTCATCCTCTGCATGCTTTTCCCCCCTAAAATAGATCAGGCTGCAGAGTCCTAACATTTTCATTTCTCTTCCTATTTGTTGGGCTTTTTTTTTTTTTTGTTTGTGTATGTACACATACCATGCGTGTATATATACTCTCTCTATGGATACACACAGGGTAAACATTCTAATAATTTCACCTAAATACAACTCTATTTAAATACATTTAAGTTTATATACACTAAGACTTCTTTCAATTACTCCCAGTAATGGAGCTACCTCAACCTTGCTTGCTTTGCTTCAATGCTAAGGTTGAAAGAGAAGGCTGGGTGCAAGAGCAAGTGTTCCAAACCTGTGTGAGGATACTAGTGTTCCTTACTTTGAAGAAAGGATCACAGAAAAATAGCAAAACTGTAAGCAAGCTCCAGAACTGCCCACGTGGACTATTGTCAGGACCCTCGCAAGAAGAAAAACCTGTGAGAACAAAGCTGCTAGCTGACGCATTTATGAAGATCCCAATGAATGTATCCGACTTCTACTATTCAACAACAAAAAAAATCTCTATGGTAAACATATTCAGATGATTCAGAAAACAATTTAAAAAAATTCAAGTGCCATTGGGAAAAAAGTATTATTTGTATCTCAATGGTTTTTAGAAATTCTCCTCACTCACACACCACTAATCATCAATTTTGGCCACAGTTAACAGAGTATTTTTATCTTTTTGTAGCGATGAAATCATGAACATTCCATGGGGCAGCTTGAACACCTCAGCGGGTGTATTGTAACATTATGTTTCACAGTCCAAAACCTACAGATTACTCCCATCAGGTTAGCACACAAATCTAAGTACAGAAACCAGCCAACACAGGAAATGCGTTTGAAAAGCAGAAAGAAAAGAAAACTTAACAAGTTACTTTAAAATATCACTAACATCAAGGAAGGATCACCGTTCCCCCCAAGTCCAGAGGGGAAAAAAAAAAAAAAAAAAAAAAAACCAACATAAAATCCCCAACCCCCACAAAACCTAAACCTATGTTTTTCTCTTATGCCATACAGTATCAAACTACCTACAGAACAGCTTTAAGTAATGCCTTTTTTTTTTAAAAGGTTTGAAGGTTCCACCCTGTGTTTGAAAATACATTAAAAAAAATTACAACCTACAATTTTGTTAAAGACAACAAATGTACAAACTGAATTGTCTAGGCATGCAAGAGAAGTCAAAATAGCCCTGAAATAACACAAGTCTATAGGTTGTAGCTTATAGGTTAATGTTGAAGAATAAAAACCTGACAAGGTGGCAGGAGTCAAAGGACGAAGTTACTTGTTCAACATTTCAGATCACACATCTTCTTATTCTTTCAAAACTCTAGTTGAAGGGTTTCTTCCCTCCTTCATCTGTTTTAGATTATACAAACTTTCAAGTGGAGGCAGACCAGGAATTATTAATAAATTTACCTCCTTCCTTTTTAAGTGGATTTCTCTATATGATACAAATTCAGCTCTAAGTGATGCTCCTTGATTTTCAGTTATGTGAAGATGCATCAAGAGAGTAATTTCTAAAGTTAAAAACTGATCATAGTTATTCCTGTGGTCTACGTATGAGACTACTACTTCTTGTTGTTCATAAAGTGAGTACACAAAGATAGTCATGTCCTCAAGAAAGACTTTACTTCTCGCAATTATTTCTTCATACTTGCTTCATATTTAAATCAACTTTTACGGTAGTCAGAGTGCTGACCTCAATATTCTGTAACTATAAGAGCAGAGCAAATTACCAACAAAATTGTATTTTGCATCACTTTGTTAGGATACTAAGTAATGGGAAAATGGGAGTTCAGAAAACTCCCAGTTAGTTAGCACCTTTAGTAACTAAACAAATGCTCAAGTAGCTTTACAAACAGTAAGTCAGTACATGATGGCAATGCTGCTGAAGGTGGTGGTGGTGGTGGGAATAACCAGATAAATCGACTCCACTTCCTTCATTATTCTTGGCCACATACCTTCCCCTCTCTTGCTGGCGCAAGTGTCAGGGCCACAAATCTGACCAGGAAACTTCTCTGGGTTAACATTTCCTCCACCCCAACCAGGTTAATCTCAGGAAACTGATTCACTTTCCCAATCAAGTTCTCCACACAACCACACAAATGCTTGCACAAGCGCAAACTGTGACTGGGAAGCTATATGGAGCAATAATGCAACCAGGCTGCATAGGTGGGGTAGAGTTTCTTCTTACCGTAGTGATAGATCAGAGTATTTGTAGTTCTGTAAACTAAAAGATACTTTCTCATTTCTGTTGTCTGAAAAATCTCCCTGGAGAGCTTTCATTGACCTGTGCTACAGATTATTTTTTCTTTTTAAACATTTCCTTTGACGGTCTCTCCCTTTCTCCACTTTTCCATTGAGCTACATGGTATCTGCTGCCTCTGGTATCTTCCTTCAACCTGTTGCCTTCACCTCTCCTCACCTTCTCCAGTCAGTGCACTTCAACTTCACTTCCACTCAGTGATGTAATCTGGAAAGTGAACATTTGCTACTATACACTGCGTTCTATTTAGCAATTTTGGATTACACATACAGCATGCACAGAAGCAGGATGGCTTTCTGCCCAAATATTCCATTCCTTGCTGCTCACTCACAACACAAAGTAAATTTAGAAGTTTAAGAAATATCTTTATGCAAAGCTTTGTGGTAATTTCAACACAAACTGGTGCATTGCAACTGTCCCTGACAAGAATAGGTGAGGGCTTACAGAAAGGAAAGCATGACACTACATAGTACAGAATCTTTTGTGAAATCCTGCTGCCATATACAGATTTCATAATTTCCTAAAGAAAAATAAAGAACACTTAGAGAACTCTTGGGGAACTTGCATTTGAAGAAGCCACAAATTAAAAGATAAGCACCACAAGCTAAATATATCTAACACAAAGAAGCGCATAAAGTCTTAAGAATCGATTAACTAGTCCAAACTTACTTCATCAGAAGCAGAGCGAAGACACTGGACAGCAGCCTGTTTTTTCATTTCCTCTAGTGTTTGTTTTTTCTGCTCCTTCCCCATTTCTTGTAAGCTCCCTTTTCCCAGCCCAGGAAGATGTCATTCTCCTAAAATAAAAATAAAGGAATTACATTATTTAAAATACATTAATATCTCAGTAACATAGGAGAACAGGACTACAAATAACATACTGTTCAAAATATAAACAACCTTATCCTATCTACTAAAAACTACTTTTCACCAAATTAAAGATCAGTTTGATTACAGAAAACTTGCTATTCAGAAAAGCACATATATTTCTCACAGGACATGGAGGCTACTTGCACTTCACTGCAATATTTTCCAGTTGCAAAGCATACCCATAAAGATCAGTTTATGGCCAACTTATGGTTGAATTTATTACTGCAATTTACACAAAATATGTTAGAGAGCTTCACTGATCTCTAAAATAATAAGGATGAAAAGGAGTAGCTCAGAGTTAGGATCACACTTATGAGAAAGCTAAAAAAGCCAAAAGAAGTAAATGCAATGTTAGATCCCAAAGCCTTCAACTCAGTCTCACAATGAACATCACTATGACTAGAGGTAGCAGTGCCTATCTTAAAAAAAACTTATTTCAGAAGAAAATTAGACATTTGGGGGGTGTGGGTGGGTGGGTCCCCATACATTAAGAATATTTAATTAAGAACAATAAAATCAAAGAAGAATGCTATTGTTTCATATGTAATCATCTGAAGATACATAGCACCCATTTTGTATTGCTTTTCAGAATTTACAAATTTATTAGACTTGCTTATTCTTCACGGCCCATTCACATAGATACACATGATTTCCAGTGTTCATCTCATCACAGAAATATTTTGGCTACTAGGAAAATAATCTTTAACATGTTTAATATACACTGGTCTAAATCATCTTCTTCAGAGAGATCCACAAACACCCGATGTTTTTCAACACACCTGCTTCAGCCTTATAGACATATCTGTTACTGCTTCTAACGAAATCCAGGCTAAGGCCTACCGTCATTTAAAACAAGTTGTCAGTGAAACTAGTTGTCTCTGTGCAATCAAAGAATAAGATGGGGAAAAAAAGGGGGCGGCGAGAGACCAGTCACCTTCAGAAGCAGCCATTGAAATGGCTGCCATTCATGATTTTACATGACTGAGTCCTTCAGGAAAGAGCAGAGCAACTTCTTGAATTTTATTTCTTAGTCTTATTTGATCACCAAAACTGGAAAAACAGATTTACTTCTGAAAGAACAAAAAGCTACCAGTCACTCTGTTTTTCCTTATACTTGTGCAAGATGCTAGTGGTTCATTTAAAACAAGAAACTCGAACAGGCTACTCTTCTGTCATTAGAAGGACTAACAAAAAGAAAGAATAGAAAAAAAAATAAGAAAAATAAAATTCTCAGAAAATAGGTTCAATAGACTGTGCATATCTAAACTCCATTTTAAAAAAATAAATGCATAAGTCTTTTCCAAAATTGTAATTTATATATTTCTTTATACACAATGAGGCTGTAGAACACTCTAACTTCTTCCCAATATACATGTGGAAGCACACAAACTGATGAGATCCACCTACCCCCCCCCCAGTTTCCAAAGCTCGTCCCGCTCATCCAACATGGGCACAGTTATGAATGAAAAAAAATACATACCCACTTGTAATACATTACTCAAAATGAAAATCCAGGCACACCAGCAAATCTGCACTGTGTTAACTTAATTTATTCTGCTTTTAGGTGAAAAGTTGATTAAGGCAACATCTACTCTAGGAAAATGTTACCAAAATGCTATATATTGAAATACTTTGTTTCATCTACGCCAACAAAGCTTTGCTTTGTACTGGTATGTTAAAGCTAACCTCTGCGAGAGCAGCCTTACTAGCTGTATATGCAAGCAGTCTGTCAACTGAGCACTAAGAACCTTCACGCTTACAGAAGTTTATGAAGTGTTTTGCTCTGTTGTCCACACCTAATCTGAAAGATATCTGACACTTGTCCATGAATTTTCAGTTTTTCAAAATCTAATCCTTACAAAAAATACCCAAATTTTTAAATGGGGGAAGGGAGGCTAAATGGAATTCTCTCTCATGGCCCCCACCACAGAGCTGTGTGTATCACTGTCTCATCCTTCCAGAGCATGCACGTTGTTCGTGCGCTCTGGGAACAACACAGCTCATCCTGTAGGATGCGGCGATTGAGGGCAGAGCTCTGGTAGAATCCTCTCCTCCTTTCTACCTCTTTAGACGTCTAATACACAGAAAATTTGTTTCTGAACATACAGTTTTCCATCACATCTGGCTGCCAGTGCTTCACGCTGCCAGTTTAAGTTGTACAGGAAAAAACACTGCTGATAACTTGAGGGTTTGATTTTTTTTTTTCCCCCTGGACAAACTTGCTAATTTTTTAGCCTCAGATTTTACAGGCTTAGCAAACACCATGCATTACAGCTATTCCACATAAAATTTTGAAATTTTAAATCCTCATGTAAACTACAGTATTTGTCAACATTATATATCTATTTGATATAGCCTAAATTTATTGAGGACCTTGCACTTTCTTCACAGAAATCAAACGCCACACCCACAGAACACTACAGAACAGTGAGGAAAAAAATCCTTACACATAATTCTTGTGTTATAGTCTACCAGAACCACACTGAATCAATTACCAAAAAAAAAAAAAAAAAAAAAAAAGCATTACAGTAGAATGGCCATTTTGTAGAAATTAAGGTGTGACACACAAAGTGGAATTCTGCTTTTATGATGACTAAATTGATAAAAAAAAAGACAATCCAGTAGTTTCAAATGGTTTAAATTAATCTCTTGCTTATTTCCCCCACTGGGTTTTTGGTTTTTTTCGTTTTGTCTCCAGGGGTCAGGAGCCCATTAGTAAGTTTACTCCTTAGACTGGAAAATATTAAGTCCATGACAAACAGGAAAGAAAGCAGTTCAACAAAACATTCTGTATGCATGAAGGCAAGTAAACTAGTTACTTCACATGGAAAGAATCACTAAGGGCTTCTGTTCTCTTCAGCTACTAGATGCCTTCATTTACCTTTGTTTCCTAATGGAATTAGAGATCACATAATAATGCTTGTTTTAACACAAGAGCTCCACCATCACTTTGAATTTTCACAATTCTCTTCGGTGGTCACTGAATGTTTCACAAAAGCATAGCTATCCCAAACTTACAGATTTAAAAAGTGTACATACACACAGAAGAAAAACTGAAATCTGGCTTACAAAATTCTAATATTTAACAGACTACCACTACTTAAATTTTTAAGAGATGACCACCCAATATTAAATAAATATGAACAGGAAGCCAAGGCCATCTGGATCCTGGAAAAATTCAAGTTTTAGTATCTTAACTCCTATTCAAACATCTAGTCTTCAGAGTCCTACTGTACCTGCCTACTACATAACTAGATCATTTCATATGCGAGATTTTAAATTCTAAAGACACTGAAAGTGCAAAGTTTCATGACAAGAATAATTTAAGAACCATAAATGTGGCTAAAGAAGTGCTGGTAAAGTATCTGCATTCTTTATGTTAATGATGCTTCAAGAAATCCAGTATTTGGAGTGCTTCATTCAATCCTGAATTAATATACAGGTGAAAATTTTAGAAGTTATTTCTAATTCGTTTCTCCTGCTCAGTTATGCAAAAGCAGCACTTCCACCACTTCCCTCCACCCTATCAAGAAGTTGGTGAAGCAAAAGAAAAGCAAGTTTGGTAGTGATTCTTCTTACTTTCATTTGTTACAAAGATAATAGAGAAATACCTAGTACCAGTAAGACAACAAACGTGACACCTTGTGATAAGACTGAAAGAAAACTGTTTTGAAGCTCATAGTCTACATAAATGAAAAATCAGTGTTAAAACATACTTCAAGAATCTTGCAGGAACTACCCATATTTCATAAAAGCTGGAGTCAAGTTCACTGATGCAGAAACACTAGATGACTCAAGGTCCTAGTTTCTGTTCAGGTAAGTAAACAGGCTGAAATTTTGCCTGATCAGCAGACCACAGAGGAAAGGACTCAGATTTAATAACCTGATCAACAAACTCCCCAAATGGGGAAATCAAATCAGCAGACAAACATGTTTAGCAAATAAAATAAAATAAATCATATTTTTCTTTTTAAAGTAAATTCATGGAAACTGATTCCCTAGGATTCTCCCTGCATAAATGCACTACAGATTGAATTGGATACACATCAAGATGAACAAACATGACGTATATCGAGTTTTCAGATGTCTTGAACAGCCATAATTATCTATGTGGTCAACATTTCTATTTTTAATTATATACAAGAGACTTTAAGCCAAGAATTTCCATTCTCTTAGAGGAGAAATGAAAATACCAAGTTAAAATTCTGAATCAGAGAATTTTGAAGAACTCCTGGGTTTGAGCATTTTCATTTCAGCACAAACCAGTTGCTATTCAAGCATATTATCAGCCTGGCATTTCTTGTTCTTGTAAAAGTTATTGCTGGCCAGGCAAAATGTGCTGCTTCAACATGCCATTTCTAGTAACAAGTTCATATAAAAAAAACCAAGAAGCATTCAGTGTTACAATTTCTCAAATACAAAATAATCACACACACAGTCTTTCCCTTTAAGAATCCAAGTCAAAGAATACTATCAAAAAAGTAACCCAAACATCCAGACAAGATCACCTAATGTGAAAAGAACTCCCAAAATTTTGTTAAGGTATGCAAGCAGAGTCCCACAAGACTGAGTAACGTATGTGAACAATTTTTCTCTCTTATAATTCTCACTTAATAGATTAAGAGAAGGGGGAAAAAATTACCCACAGTTTTTTTAAAAGGGGCAAACATTTGCCAAAGACTGAGTGGAACAGTTGATTGGTATTTTTGCCATAAATAATTTGGAGCTGTATGTCTACTGAACAGCTGGCCAGGTCCTGTCCAGTGCAGTACGTAAAGATTAAGTTTTGTCTGCTTGTTCAAATTAGTCTGCAGACTCCTCTACCAAGCTATAGGAGAAACCTTTCTTACAAAACTTCTTTAAAAGTTGCTCAAATGCCATTAAAATAGATCATCAAATTAATGGACAGGCCAAAGGGAAAAATAGA